AGTAATTTAAAGTAATAACAAATCGAGTAAGTACATATCAAATTATATATATAATTTGATATGTACTTACTCGATGAAGATTCCTGTACCAGGAGCACCTGAGTGCCCCGTGGGATTAGCTAATGATTGTTTTCACTTCACATACTTTGTTGAAGATTTCTTTGTGTGTCCTTTTGGAATCAAGTTTGCATTAAAATTAAAAATTAATAAATTTAGTTCAATTTTTAACTTCTGAGTGAGATTTATCATCAACTATCAAGAAAATGCCAAGAACTAATCGAGTGGAGGTTGGGGAGCTTCTTATAAGCTTCAAAGAATTTAAAGAAGCTTTTGTGCTTATTGAAGAAATACAGACGACGAAATACAGAAAAAACAATATTATGCGAAAGGCTCTGCAACTAAACTCCGTGATAGTCTTTTGGCAGCGTTAGAAGGGGGAAATAATTATTCCCAACTGAACCCTTCTAAAGTCGGATTTTTTATTAATAAAACGATGCCCAAGTTTCCATTCGAATCTTACCTATATCATCTTGGAAGCAGAGCTAAGTGTTGCAAATTCAAATTATATTTACAAATAAAGACTCCGGAAAAAGAGATAATAAGTGGCCAAGGCGATGGCGTATATTGGTCAATTCCGAAATGGCCTCATATAAAATGCACCTGTAGTGTAAATTTGACCTAATCCCACGGGGCACTCAGGTGCTCCCGGTACAAGAATGATTAATGGAAAATTACTCAAATGATTTCTAAATTCATCGATAACCTTTTTGTAGACATTTTGAGTTTTAAATAATTTTTCTTGTTGTCCTTAGGTGATGCTCCAAATTGGCTCTGTTGTTGGTTTTGGATGGCTAAATGATATATTCACAATTCATCATTCAAGACTTATCAGGTAAGGACTTTCAAGAAAAAACAAAATCTTTCATCAAAGTTATCGATGAATTTGATTTCATTTCGTGTAGTTTTTCATAAGTCCCGTTCTTTAAGATTTTGAAGCAGTAATTTAAAGTAATAACAAATCGAGTAAGTACATATCAAATTATATATATAATTTGATATGTACTTACNAAATCTTTCATCAAAGTTATCGATGAATTTGATTTCATTTCGTGTAGCTTTTCATAAGTCCCGTTCTTTAAGATTCTGAAGTAGTAATTAAAGATGTGTTATTCTCGCATGGCAGAAATATTAAATAGACAATTCTAAAAAGTTACGTTTCCCGGTGTCGGCGAAAACTTAATAGTGTTGCAAATTCTCTATTGCGATTCTTCTGAAAAATAATTTTATTGTATAATTTTTTCAGTAATTTCAGAGTTAAAAATATTTTAAATACTTACGGGGTATGTAGTGTGAGTAGAGATAACTCACGCCTCGAAAATGAGAAGAAAATTAGATGTTTTTTAAAATTATATTTTTGAACAAGTTCATAAATGAATTTCGTTGAAATCTTTTTTATTAGATTCAAGAAGAGTGTGGGTTTCCAAAATGGTATTATACTTGCATAGGCTCGCTCTGTGAGCGTAGAAATAACAATTTGAAAATGATCATTTTTTCCGCCATTTCAGCATATATTGAAATATGTAAATGGAATTTAAACTTTAATAAAAACATTGAATTTAATAAATAAAGGTAGCNTCTGTTTCTGACATTTTCTCTTTTATAGAGAACATCATATTTTTTTATGATGTTAATCTATTGATAATTAAATATAAAAAAATAAATAAAACATTAAACAAAAGCAGATTACAAATACTTACCAAAGCGATTTTTTTGCGATTTTTTTCAGTCATTGAAGAATTTTCCATTTTGGCACTGAAATTGAATTAATTACCACATAAATATCGAATAAACAAACGAAAAATATACAAATATTTAATCCTAAGACTGAGAATAAAAAGAAAAACTTGAAGTTTTCACGAAAAAAAATAAAGTATGAATACTATAGAAATACAATTTATGGAAAGAAGTTTCAAAATGTATCAAGGAACAACTTTTCCAAACACACTTTATACCTAAATATAATAGTTTAAGTTTTATAGCAAAAGAACGAAAGTTGCCTATGAAAAATATTATACCTACCTTTCACATGGAAAATTTAAAATTATTTTATCTCACGATGCGTACGTTCTACAACTTTTTGATGTATGAAAGATGTGTTCAGAATTGTTATTTGAACATATTATAAGAAAACATTATACATATAAAACCAAGTTTTCTATGTGTAAAATGAGCTTGAAAAACTCCCATACAAAAAAACATCAACCATGACGTCATGCCTGATGGCATGATGTCATGCTTTTGTTCACCATGACGTCATGCCATCAGGCCTGAAAATATCAATAGAGCTGTTTGTTTCTAAAACATGCCCAACACGTCTTGATTCCCTTCCTATCAAGCCCACTTTGACAAGTGAATTTCTCAAGTTCAAATAACTATAAAAAATAAATATAATTTTCAGGTGGGAACATTTCTTTTAGTTGATGGAACAAAGTACGTTGATTCCACTTCAGTCGGGAATAATTCAACTTAAGCAGCATCTTAAGTGCTTAAAGTCATTTTTGTTGAGCCTGAAACGAAACTACAATTTTTAATTTTATGCTTATGCGGGGCAGCATGTTGAGAATGATTAATGAAAATTACACAAATGATTTCTAAATTCATCGATAACCTTTTTGTAGAGATTTTGAGTTTTAAATAATTTTTCTTGTTGTCCTTAGGTGATGCTTCAGTTTCGCCCTGATGTTGGCTTTGGATGGCTGAATGAACAGACGTTAATGAATCGCAATGGTTGAGATTATGCAGATTCAACTTCATCATTCAAGATTTATCAGGTAAGGACTTTCAAGAAAAAATGAAATCTTTCATCAAAATTATCGTTGAATTTAGTTTCATTAGATGAAATTTTTCCATAAAGTTGATTTTGAAAATTCTGAAAAAGCATTTGAATTACTCCTTCATGTGGATATTTAGAATTTGAGTTGAAGTCATGTGTAATGCAATTATAATTTACAATGTTAATTGTTCACAACGAATAAGTCGTGAAGAAAAAGCAGTTCGGAACAGTTCAGGTTCGAGCTGTTTTATTATCATTTTCAATTTTTCTCCAAACGTTTTACGATCAACATCAAAATTTCGGTAAATTGTTATAGATTTTTCATTTTCATTACATATTTTAACTGGGTTGTCCTGAATCTTAGGAATCCTAGGTATACTGTGCATAGGAATCCTAGGAATCTTAGGAATCATAGGAATCTTAGGAATCATAGGAATCTTAGGAATCTTAGGAATCCTATGCAAAGTATTCCTAGGAATCTTCCTATGCTTAGGATTCCTAAGATTCCTGGGATTCCTAGGAAGGAACTTAATCCGAATTAATGAAATAAAAACCGGGATTAAATTTCTTCCTAGGAATCCTAGGAATCTTAGGAAGGAAGTTAATTCCGTTTTTAATAAAATTAAGAACTAATACGAAAAGAAAATACAGCTTTATTAATTTTTAATATATAATTTTTAATATTCT